TCCCGGGTTCGCGCGGCGCGCCGACAGCCTGCTCCGCTGAATATCCCGAGAGTGCCAAATCTTCACCGAGAGCGAGTTCGATTTTTGGAATAGGCCAAAAGCCAGAGCCAAGTTCAGTGAGTAAGAGGTGTGATTAAACCAGGTGGCATTCTTTTGGATCAAAACTGATACACTCATAAAGCATTGAGATGGATTTTATAGGATTCGTACAATCTGCTTCCAAAGGGAATTGCAGATGTGTAACGCGTGCGAGCAGTGTAATAGATAGAGGTGCACACAGGAAGTATATATGTCTATGTCATGCATAGACAGGCGTTTCTTTTCTTTAAGTAACTTCTTTGAAGGATAACGCCCATTGGATGTGTAAGTGTGAATGTAAGATTTGTTTCATCACTAACAGGCTCCTCAGTGTACTGCATCGACTGTGTGATGATGGAGGCTGGGGGGGCCGTCACTGAACTAGAGAGGCATGCAGGAGAGAACGAAGACTTTAGGAGACCCACTGTGCTAGAATCCCGCTGGCCCACCTGGCCTGTGCGACTTCAGAAGAGTCACAAGGTCTCTAAGACTCTGCAAAATAGACTGGTAACTCACAGGGAGAAAAATGATTGCTAAATGAGGTAGTTGACACTTTTCTATATAACTAGTGCAGCTGAAATAGGTCAAATCGATCCATTCCACAGTGCTTTCACGTATGAGCAAGCTGATGAGGGGTTATCGTGAGGAGTTGAGGTAATGGATAAAAAGCAGAGACATTGTGCCCCATAAGTGACAGCTGCTATTAACAAAAAAAACTCAGTATAACCAAAAGGATTTTCTTTAAGTAGCTTCAGAAGAACAGACATTTGGGTAGCAAGCAGTTCATTCATTAATACAACCAACATACACTCATTACTGGTGAACCTGGAGCCTACATTTTAAAAATATTCCATGCATTTTATTTGTAGTAATTGTTATCACTCTCTTCAGCATTTTTCAACTACATGGCACATGTCCTGTGTGGGGCTCCTAGCATCAACCTCCCACTCCTGTCTGAACATAACCCTGCCACGACCATGCACCTTTGAATACCTCATCCCTCCTAAAATGCCGTTCCTGCCCTCTGATCTGACAAAACCCCATGGTTTTGTGCAACCTTCCCTACTTGCTCCAGACAGAATCAGTGGCTCTGGCCCCTGTACTACCACAGCACGTGGTTCCTGTCTCCGGAGTGCCCCATCCTATGATGGACTGTGATTTCTCTCCATTTCTGCTTCTTCCACTGGGCTTGGGCACATAGTGCTACTAGCATACTATAGAGCATCCCTTGGCACACAGTAGGAATTCAGGAGATGTTGGACAAACAAATGCTTTAAATATACTTTGCAAACAACTGTTATAGGTCAGGTAGTTAGCTGCCTTTTGTTAAGTTACCAGCAACCATTCATTTTTCTTGACTTCAAATAAGAGATAACTTACATAGACTTGAGAATGGCTTTGGAAGTTGCAATGTAAAGGTTACAGACCTCGGTGTACCCCGTGGCCACAGATGGAAGCCTGGGCAGCCTTTGTCCAAGTCAGCACACCCCTGGGGTGAACCACACTATCGCGAGCTCTGTCGGGAGCTTCGTGTGGATGACTCAGAAGGCCTAGCCAGCGCTGCCTGGCTCCCAGGGCTGAAGGGCTTTCTGAGCCAGCAACTCCACAGTGGTAGAAAATCCCAAGGCTACATGGTGTGGGCAGGGTGCTGGCTGAAAGCCAGCTACTTCCAGATCCCTGCCTCCTAGGAATAGCTTGGAATCAGTTTGCCAATTCTGACTAGCTCTAATAGTTTGCCTATTCAGTGACTAGGGCTCCCCAGCTGTCAGGTCGCCCCGGGGCATTCAAGGATGTGGCGGGGCACTCGAGTGTGTTTGTTTCAGCAAGGTTTAACCTGTGTAACTAAAAAGAAATTCATGATCAACCAGTTCCAAGCAAGGTAGAGGGTCAGCTGGCAGCCCTGTACCTCTCTGTTGACACTGGTGAATCATTCTCTGTCACTGTAGTTTTCCAGACCCTTTGCAACATATCAGCAGGGTCAGACTCACCAGGCTCACAGGGTGGAAAGGATCTGGAGCCATGGCCCATGCCTTGGGACCCACCAAACCACGACAGTATTTCTGGCAAAGACATGATGTGCAAAGGCAAAGTGGTCACATTCAGTCTGAGCACTGCGGTCTTCCCAGCTTCCCAATGGAATGGCTGCATTCTGAAGGAGGGGAGTGAGGAGAGAACCAGGCTGCAGATTACCAGAAAGGAGTGACTGAAGAAGCAGCTCTAGATTCACCTGGAGAGTTCTGGCGAGTCAGTCATTCATTTCACAAATATTTATTTTTTTAGGATTTTAAAATGTTTATTGATGTACAAAACTATATAAATTTGGGGGGTACATTTTCCCCTTGTGTGTATAAGCTTCACCTCACCCACACCAACAGTCTAGCGCCCATGCCGCTGTCAGGCTGACGCCCTCTTCCCTTCCCGCCCTCTCCTCCCCTGCCCTTCTGGGAACCACTGTGTTTCTAACAAAGCCTAGGTGTTGCTTTCACAAGTATTTATTGAACCAGGAACCACTGCTGGCATGCGAGGTGCAAAAGCGAAGCACAGATCCATGGCCCACGGAGCTTACTGTTTAGGAGGAGACGGGCATCACCACACAGGTACAAGGCAGAAGGACGTCCTGCATGCCACGACGCCACGTCCTGCACGCCACGACGCAGGAGGACGGTGTGCTGCAGCCACCGCACAGAGGGAGCAGTGATCTGCTCGGGGAAGGCCATCAGCAAGCAACAAGTGAGCTGAAGGCTCAAGGATTAACTGGAATAAACTAGGTGAGGAGAAATGGAGGGAACCAGTGGTGGCAAAGACAACAAGTACGTGCCAAGGTCCTCGGCTAGGAGGGCGACCATGCTGAGCTGGCTCTGGATTAAAGGCAGGAAGTCAGACAGCAGCGGGACCAGAGGCCTCCACACAAAGCAACTTCCTCTCTGCGCTCTCACTTGCTCTCCAGCTGCAGCACGACCCTCCTCGGCATGGAACAAGACTAAAAACAATGTGCAAAATTCCACATGCCCAGGGGGCTTGACGCACCCAGCACTAGCTGAAAAATCAGACTCGCCAATATCACCTGCAGTCTTAGCAGTCATCCCTGTTAAGTGCTCACCCCCACTGACTGGACCCTGAGCCAGGAAAGGGGCGCCCTCTAGCAGAGCTGTACACGTCTAGCTTTCATCTTTGAACTTCAATCCTACTAGAATGAAGGTGCTGAGAAATAGGCTGATGAGTATAAAACTGTTTAGGTACCTAATGCTGTTTAGGTACCTAATGAGTCATTGTAATTTTCACATCTAAGGGGGGGGGGAGGAAACTGAAGGTAAAAGTGGTTAAGGATGTTTCTTTGGCAACTCCATTAGCCAGTCAGATCACCTGAGGCAGTTTCTTGGTGGCTTCGGAATTATTTGTCACCTTGAAAGAAGAGTCCTGGGGGACTCTTTGTAAAGTACTCTGTGATCAACCATTAAACTCGTCCTCCCTGCCCTGGGATATTATAGTCGCTGTGCAGATAAAACAGGTAAGTGGGTGGCCCAAGAACACAAACCAATGGAGCTTTTACTTAAGTTTATTACCATCCCCACCAAAAGTGGAGACACCCTGCAGACCAATCCTAACTCCCAGGAGCAGCAGAGAAAGGCACTACTGTGGTTAGTTCCCCTGTGCCTGCTCGCAACCATCTTCTCTATGCAGAGTGCCTTCGAGGCAATTATGATAATGACCGCCCTGTGATTAGGACAGTGGCACTCTAGACTAGAATAGGAATTTGGTAGACCTCAAAGATGAATAAGAACACCTAGGAAGTCACCATGGTTTGTCACCATGAAATGTCACTGTTCCTGACAAGTATGGACTCCAACACACACACACACAAACACCCCCCCACCAAGACTTCCTTCTATCCCCCACAAGCAGCCCAGATAATGGTCTCCGCTGGACTCCCAGCTCCACCCACAAACCAGGACCTCTCCCGCATCTGAAGCATCTGAAGCCCGGAGACTAGGACTTAGCATACAAAAGGTTTACTGAGCGCAAGGCTGCTCACCAGCAACTGAGGGAAGCAGATACCCCCTTCACAGGAGAGTGGACTTAAGAGATCAAGTAGACCAAGTCCTTGTTCAGATGAGCAGTTTCATATGGTCTAATTTCCAGTTCAGGGGTTTTGGCTCAGGTTAGGCCCACAACCATTTTTTTAAGGGCCTACTGTGTGTCAGACACAGTGGGAGGTGGCAGGGAGAGTGAGCTGAGCAGAATGTGATCTTGGCTTCAGAGAGCTCACAGCCTGTGGGAGGGAAGAGAGCTTGAGAGCGGAGGCAAGAGCAAGGGGAGATGCTTGACTCCTTAGCCAGCGTTCTCCCCACTGTCACTGGACAGTGCCCATCCGGGAAATAGGCCGGCAAAAGCTACTTCCTGCAAATAAACTTGGAGCTGAAGACTGATGAGGAAACGCATAGGGAAAACTGTCAGGTTCACCCTCAAAGGCATTATGTAAGGCGCTGCCAGAGCCCGACACCCACTCCGAGGATTCAACAGTGTTTCAGATTATCAGTTCGACAAAGAAGCCAACAAGCGAGGGGTGGGCACACATCCGAGGGAAACCTCAAGGGCTGGGAGGAACTGGAGGAAACAGCTGGCGCGGGGGAGGGAGGTAGGAGCGCTGGGTCAAGTGAGATGATCCCGGCGCCGGGAATGGAGGGCAGGCAGCCGGGTGGGAGAAGCTGGAAACCAGGGGGAAGTTGGGGCAGCAGCCGAGAGGCCCGGGGGCAAGACAAGACAGGGGCGGCGCGGGGCCAGGCCGGCCTTTTCGAGACGGGGGCGAGGGCAGCGGGCCGGCCGGGGAGGCGCTGGCGCTCGCAGGGAGGCTGGGGCGGAGGCCGGGGCCGCAGCATCACGCCCGCCGCGCCTCCCCGGAGCCCGGGCCCGCGGCGCCTCACCTCGGGTTGAAGTCCTGGAAGAGGCCCCTCAGGTTCATGGCGGAGAACTTGGCCGCGGCGTCCTCCTCCGCCCCCTCCCCGCGCGCCGCGCAGCCTGTGCGTTACAGCGGCTCCATGGTGTCAGCGCCCGCCTCGTCCCCGCCGCCGCCGCCGCCGGAGCAAAGCGCGCCGCCGCCTCCCGCCCCTCCCTCTGGGCTTCCGTAGGGCGGCCGCGCATGCGCCCCAAGCCCCGGCGAAGCCACGCCCACCCGCTCGGCGAGCCACGCCCCCGGTTGGCGGTCTCCTGGAGACCCGGGTCTCGGCGAGGCTCGCGGGGAGCGCGGGGGGTGGAGGTCGGGACAGACCCGGGAACCCGGGGCAGGATCCGGAGAGCCCAGCTGGGACGCTGACAGGGGGGCCTGAGGCAGGAAGCGCGTCACCCAGGGGTTCTGCGGCGAGGTCCTCGATGACACCTGTGACCTGCGCCGTGCTGCCTCTCGGGGATTTCCTGAGAACGCTGAGCCTTGGGGGCGGTTGGCCAAAGGCAACTCGTTGCATTTTGGCGATCTCACGACACGCTTCACCCGTCAGATCTGTCGCTGTCTCCAAAGTGTGTGTCTTAACTGCCCTCCCAAGTCGCAGGCCAGCACGTGCAGATACGCTGGCCGTCTCAAAATCAGCCTGCTCTCCACCAATTGCCTTTCCTCCCTCGGTTGCCTCTGTTGTTGGCAGCAGGCCCTTTAGGGGAAGGGGGTGTGCTGAGACTGGAAATCTGGGCGTCTTTCCCACTTTGCTAACCTACTTCAGAGACCCCTTGGCTCTGCTGGATTTCATGACCGCCTAACTCTGGCTCCTTCCCCGACGCCAGGCCATCCTGCTTGTGACCTCCGAAGTTATCTTCCTTGGGCAAGTCAACATCTTTGCGTCTCCTCTGCAAAATGGAGACAACAAACACACTTCCTAAACTCCTTGGAAAGATTCAGTGAGTTAGTGTGCATAACACACTAACTGGCAGCGGGATGCTCAAAGAATGCTGTTGCTCTGTATTCTTTCAGCTCCTTCTCAAGGAATCCTTTTACTTTGCAAATGAAGAGCTGGGCAAGCTCACAGCAGGTGACCCAGTCTACCTTCTTCACTTCTGGCTGATTTAAGAGTTCTCCATGAGCACAGCAATACCTTACACATTTGTCCAGTATCATTATGGATACTAGTCATACTTTGTTATAATAGCAGAGTTCTACCAATGGCAATTTTATGAGATTTAACCCTGGGGGGTGCTTGAGAAGATCACAAGTATGACAGTCAGTCTTTGCCATGATGTATCACCTTTCTTCTGAGAACCTAAAAACATTTCACAAGTGCTAATTAGGCTTTCCAACCCCACTGGGGAATGGCTATTATTAAATGGGTTGGTTTGCAGGATGAGTAACCCAAATCAAGTTTGTCAGCATTAGAGCACCAGGACCCTGTCTCAGACCTTTTGCTTCAACTCTTCAGGTGGAGTCAACTCTCTAACCCTAAGGAGGTGCTGCCTGGTGAGCATTTAAACCCAGGAGAGGAAGCTGAGGCAGAGAAGGGTGTATGACATGCCCTGAGCCATCCAGCTACTAAGGGTGTAGGAGCAAACACGCAACTTTGGGTCTGGCTGGAGTTTGCAAAAAAGAAATACTTCCAGGAGCCAGACTGGTCAGCGTCCTCTTAATTCCAGGCAGCCTCACCCCAAATAGGCGTTGAGTGAGACTGTCAATAAAGACACTTAAACTGCAAGCACTGTTGCTCTCTCAAGAGCTTCACAGACAGAGACCCAGTGGGCAGCGCAGAGTCCAGAGCCTCATGGCAGGCACTGATTTGATGAAACCCTAGCAAATCCCAGAGCTAAACACCTGTTCTGCAGATCCACAGCCCCCCCAGAGATAAGCAAGCTGTAGGGCTGCCTCGCCCAGGGAACATGACCCTAATAAGCCAGATGGTGAGCTGGCTGGCCCCAGGGAAGCACATGGGTCTGTCCATGAAGACAAATAGGAAGAATGGCACTAACCCAGGGGCCCCGCATCCCCACTCTTGGGGAACTGGATATACCTGGATCACCTCAGCTTCATTGTAGGCTCAGCCCTGTGCCCCACTGGTGCTCTAAGGGAAATGAGAGTCAGAATCTGCAGGTGTCCGTCTCGCCCTCTCTCTAGCAAGAATAAAGACCCTGCTGGCAATCACTTGCCCACCTGAGACCCCCTCCTTCGGTGCCCCATCCTGAGAAGAGGCCCTAAGCTCCACTGGCCTGTGTGGACAGACCAGTGAGTGACCCATACGTTGGGGAAAGACCCTGAGTCATTCGCAAGGTGGCACCTTCATCATCTCTAGCAAACTTTGGCTTTGACTTACCAATGAATTTCAGGGCCATCTTATTAGAGGCTCCCAACATTTTCACACATGGGCATGAAGTGGCTCTGCATTGAGTAAACACGATCCCCAAATAAGCGGGCAAGCACACGCACGTGACTCTGGAGTAGACACGTTTCAGCGCTCCAGAAGCATTGATGTACACCTGGAGAGTGGCCATAAAGGCACCCTAGGATTTGTGCCACCTTTCTGATAAGTTGGTAGCTTTTCCAATTCCACTTTCACTTTTGCTCTGGCTTGATGGGGTGGAGGGCAGGCTTCTGAAGAGCAGGTAGGGCCCTGGTGCATTCAGACACTTGAGTGACACAGAACCTGCATCTGGGGAAGAAAGAGGCTTCGACCCAGCTCCCCATACGACCAGGGTGCCTCCCTTGGGCTGCAGCAGCAGAGTGGAGAGAGCTTGGAATGAGAAGAGCTAGACCAGCTTCCCCGGTGCTCCAAGGTGAGGAAGGGACAGCTGGAGCGCAGTCCTGGGCAAGGTTAGGGAACCTCCCACAGAGTTCCTGGGGTATCAGCTTGACAAATCCTTCACCCAGAAGTATGAAGTGCCAGCTCCGAGGCTGGCCCTCTGTCCACCTGAAATTCTCCACCCCAAGTTCCCAAAAGTCCACACCCCAAATGCCATCAATGAGGGAATCACTAGAGTTTCCTGGGTTTAGTCCTATTGCCAAATGCAATCTCCCCGCTTCAAAGAGGGCTCTTTGTTTCTGGCAACTTTGTTATGGCTTGTGCACATCTTTCTGTTCCTGAGCTCTCTCAGAAGCTGGGTGGGGTCTAGACCAGGGTTCAGTAGAATACAGGGCTGGATTTGGGGTCTTGAGGGACTTAGGGAGGAGACATGGGAGTAGGGGGGCAATGGCAGGGACTGAGGAGTCACCCCTTCCGGGGACACTTTCTCAGATTTTGCCCAGTATGACTGCTAAGAGATAAGAGGGCACGCAGGCCCCAAGCCCCACTGGCCGTCTTGTCACGGAGGGTGGCTCTGGGAGCCAGGCACCAGCCGCATCCCTCCCGGAGCAAGCTTTCCCCTGAAGGGAGCAGTAGCTATTTCCTGTTGGCAGGCAGAGTAGGGAGCCTGGGGCTGGGTGTCCTCTTATCCTATCGACCTCTCCTGCCACCAGGGCCTCCAGGTAGTCTTCCTGGGTGGACAGGGAGCTTCCAGGGTTTCCCTTCTCCTGTAAGATGTTCCTGCAACACCCAGATCAAGTTCATATGGCCAGACCTACGGGGCAGACAGGAGAGAACACATGCGCCAGAGGTGCCATCAGCTGCCTAAGCAACTCCCCTCTCCCCCTAGCCTGGCCCTGCTCTGGGTGCTGAGTGTCACTCATTGCACGCCTTTTGCCCTGACTGCACCCACGCTGACTGTGGACTTCCTCTGGGACACTCTGCCCTGGCTAGTCAGACGCCTTTTCCTCCCCATGCCTTCTAACACAGCTTTCCAGCTGGGCCAGTCCATGACCTTCACTCTTCCATTGCCTTCATCCAGCACGTTTCCAGCACGTCTGCCGTGGCACTGCAGAGCACAGTGCACTGTACAGGATATTGTATTTTACTTATTTATTTTTATTTTTTAGATTTATTTATTTATTATTTATACAAGCACTGGGTACAGTCAGAAGCGCGGGAGGGTGAGAGAATTCTCCAGAGCCAGAGCGGGGAGCAGAGCAGTTAGAAGGACCTAAGTACACTGCTGAGGGGAGCAGCGGGCGGCAGGAGAGGTCTGCGCGCCATGGGGGACCCTCCTGCGGTGTCCGGGGAGCAGCCTGGGATCGAACTGGTGCTGCAGAGGCTGCGGGCAGCTTTGCAACCCAGCACTCAACCGCTGCGCCACCGGGGAGGCCCTATTGTATTTTAAATAAGCAAAATCCAATGCAGTGTGGAATAAACCACGGGGATGTGAGAACCGTCGAGTTCAATCTAAAAGGATCCCAGAAAACGGGGGTTCTGGGCAGAGGGAGCAGCCCTCGCAAGGGGGCAGAGGTCCGTGTGGGGAGGCAGGGACTCTTCCCTGGGAAAACTGACATGGGGACTCATTCTCAGGGGAGACGCTGAAGCAGCCACTTTTCAGGCCGGTCTTTCTAGTCCAGCTTCTGAAAGCTCATCACAAAATGCTTTCCCCACACTGGCCCCTGGAACAGAAGGGGATGCTGGCCAGACTCTGTGCAAACAGCACTCAGGACAGGTAAGGGAAGCAGCACTTCTGTGAGGTGGCCCCACACATGTGTGACACGGGTAGATCGCTTTGTCACAGTGTCCAGTCTCTCTGGGATCCTGTGACCGCGTGAGGACCAGCATGCCCTCCCAGCCCTGGCTAATTACAGTGGGATGGGACACTCGGGCTGCTGTGCCCTTTGGACATATTCAGGAGCCTGTGAGCTTTTTCCTACTTCCTTGCCTCCCTGGGGCCTAATTTTTCTGTTTTTTTTTTTTTTCCCCTTCTACTAACTTTAGGTTTTGGTGATTCTTCTTTTTCGACTTTTCTTTTTTTTTAGGTGTAACATTGGATAATTAATTTGGGATATTTTGCTTCTAAATATAATTAACGTCTCTCTTTTTTTAAGATTTATTTATTTATACAAGAGCTGAGATACAGGCCAGAGGCGCAGGAGGGTGAGAGGATTCACCAGAGACAGAGCGGGCAGCAGAATACACAGACGCCCGAAATCCACTGCTGAGGGGAGCAGTGGGTGAGACAGGAGAGGTCTGCCGCACTGCAGAGGCTGCGGACAGCTTCATAGTGCTGCACTCAACCTGCTGCGACCCTGGGGAGGCCCA